AAAAAAAAAAAAAAAAAAAAAAAATCATATCAGATCAAATAATGTAGCCAACAAGTTCCTAAACTAGCTAACTAACATTGTAGTAGGTCTGACAGCCAGGATCACAAGAAAAACAAAAATCCATAAAAACAACTGAATCTCATCATAAGCAAGGAATTTGGTTGTGTGTTTTCAGAAGCCTTGAGGTTAGGGGAAAGGTTTCAACCAAGGCAAGTAATGTGCAATTAGAAATGATCATTCAATACCAATACAAGTGCTATTGCCATATTGACATGAAAGATTACACATCTGATAAGAGTAACCCTCCAACTCTGATAAGAAATGCATACACTATTGACACATCCTAGTACAATTCTCTTCTCCAAGATAGATTCCTCAATATACCAATGCCAGCTACACATAAGGGCGTGTCCCGAAAGCGATACTGTGACATCCCACATTGTTTGAGGAGGAGAACAAAACACCCTTTACAAGGGTGTGGAAACCGAAACACCCTTTGCAAGGGTATGGGTCTGGGCCATTACAAATGGTATCAGAGCCAGACACTGGGCGGTATGCTAGCAAGAAAGTTGTTCCCCGAAGGAGGTAGACACGAGGCAGTGTGCCAGTAAGGATGTTGGGCCTCAAAGGGAGTAAATTTGGTGGGGCTCCTACATCGATTGGAGAAAGGAATGAGTGCCAACGAGGATGCTGAGCCCTGAAGGGGGTGAATTGTGACATCTCACATCGGTTGGGGAGGAGAACGAAACACCTTTTACAAGGGTGTGGAAACCTTTCCTTAGCAGACCCATTTTAAAAACCTTGAGGAAAAGCCCGAAAGGGAAAACCCAAAGAGGACAATATCTGCTAGCAGTGGGGCTGAGCCATTACAGATACATTCAGTTTTGGTAAACATTTTCGACATTCGAGAGTCTGAAGGAGTCAGGAAACACATTGCTATGGGAAATGGAGGAAGAACCAGCCCCAATATTTTCATAGACCAAAGTACCTTTCATTAGTTCCTCAAGGCATATAAACAGAACACCAGCAGAAGTTTTGCCTCAACCAGAGCATCAAATTCAAATCACCAAAATCTTGAAAATAATCAAGGTAGCTGCAGTAATTGTAGAGAAAACTCACTCTCAACTCTCATCCTCATTAGTTTACAAATTCAAGCCATAAATTATTTTGGTTCTTCAAATTTATCGGCGCCTAAAATCGCCAATCCACTAAACAAAAATGATAAAAACAAAGTTCCATAAGAAAATTTCGAGAAATTTCCAGCAAAATTCACACTGATCATTAAAAACCCATCTCAAAAACTACATTTCTATCAGCAAAGAGAACTGCAATTCAATAACAGAACACCAAGATAACTAAAAACAGATGATCAAGGAAACTCAATCAAACAAAATTCAGATGATCAAGGAAAAACAAAAGAGTTCATAAACAATCGAAAGACAAAAACAAGACGATGAAGAGAGAAAAACCTTCAGGCGATCCTCGAAACTTCAGAACTTTGTAATTGTAGAATAGGGACAAAACCCCGATACCTAGAAGCCTAAAGCTTAAGAAGAGGATTAAACCTTGCAGGAAGATCACAATTTCGGCTTTCGGAGGCGCAAAAGTAAGAATGCCGGGACGGAAAAGCAAAGAGGAGAGAGAGAAGAGAGAGAAACGTGGAAGCGTAGGTGGGTGAAATTGCTATAGCCTTAATATTTTCCACGTGTCAATACAAGAGGAAATGAAAAATTCTATTATCCTCTGGAACTTTGGCTTAATTACCTACTTACCAAATATAATCTCATTGTAGATTACATTACTTTTAAACAAAACTACTTCCTTAATCTTTGTTATCAAAACATAAAACAAAACAAATCAATACTATTTTTGTTTTATTAACAATAATTAGAGCGGTTTGTACTCGTGAATTGTGAGTATAGCTATGCTCTGGTCGAGATGGCGAGGCAAAACGACATTTTTGTCATACAACAAAAAATTTGAAAACAAAATATCCCCATTTATATTCCGACTTCCTAGAACTTATAACTAGTGCAAGCCCTGAGGCTAGGAAGTAGAAGTAGTAGTGATACTACACCGCTCGAGTTTGAAGCATCAACTCTTAACTGATCACGTGGGAACATAGGAAGGAAAAGTTTAGAAAGCCAAATCACTTCCCCATTGGATTCAATGTCAAATCCTTACCCGGTCTTTACTTACCTCTGGTAAATCTATTCCAAACCCGAGGATTCCATATCTCTGACTTCCATAGGCTGAATTTCCTACACCCAAATGGGAGACAAAGAGTTCCCCATCTCTCCAGCATCATCTAAGGCAGGCTTGGAAGCAGCTGTTGAATTAACTGAAGTGGGATTATCATCTAAGGCAGGCTTGGAAGCAGCTGTTGAATTAACTGAAGTGGGATCCGGTCTGGTATGGAAGGAAGTTAGTTAGTCTAATCTAATTGACACAAGCCTATTTTGAGGCTCCGTGAGTCTAATCTAATTGACACAAGCCTATTTTGAGGCTCCGTGACCGGCTTCAATCCTCTATCAGACAGTTAAGAGGCAATGGTTGAGGTGACTGTTCTATTTTATGATTTAGATTTATGGGCTTTAGTTTGAATTTGAATGAGAAGGGAGGAATGAATCTCTTTCAAATAGCAGGCCTACTGGATTCGTCTTGTTTTCTTTCTATTCTCCCGTCCTTTCCCC